CCTATTTCACCTAAATGGTGATCAAATTATTCAAGAAGCTGGACCCAATGAAGAAGACTCATCAACAGTATTTATTATGCAGATTATATAGCTTTTCTGAAAGTGGGAAGGACTTGAAGCGCTTGCTATAGAAGGTCCAAGCTCTCAATATGAATTGCATCTCAATGTCAAGAAAACAAAAACAGGTGGAGAAAAAAAATAGAAACTATAAACAGCTTCATCTTATTTGGATTCACAATCAGTACACTTGGTACCAGCAGTCAGAAGATCAAGAGACATATTGCACTGGGAAAGTTTGCAGTCAGATACCTCTCCAAATTATTGAGAAGCAATAATATTAGTTTGAGGACTAAGGTACTCCTTATTAAAGCCATGGTCTTTTTAAGCACCTGCTATGGATTAGAGAGCTGGACAAAGAATAATGATGACCGAGGAATGACTTTGAACTGTGGTGTTGGAGAACAGTATTGAATACTCCATGGACTACCAAAAGAACAAACAGCTATAGCTTGGAGAAGATGTAGCCAGAGTGCTCTTTGGAGGCAAAGACAATAAAACTTCATCTTGCATACTTTGGGTATATTGCTAGAAGAGCGACATCATGCTTGTGAATGAAAGGAAGACTGTCAACCATGTGGGTTGACACAGTGACTGCAGCAATGGGCTCAAGTGTGTCAGAGATTGTGAGGATGGCACAGGATGAGGTAGGGTCCAGCTCTGTTGTTTGTAGTGTCACTATGAGGTGTACTTAACTTGATAACACCTAACAAAAACAACAATACACTGTCCTTCTACAAAAACTGGTCTTTTCTCATACTATGTCCAAAGTATGTGAGAGGAAGTTGTCCTTGCCTCCAAGGATCTTTTTAGCTGCACTTCTTCCAAAAGATTCATTTGTTCTCTCAGTAGCCCATGTGTATTCAATTTTCTTCTCCAACAAAGTAATTCAAAGACAATTCTTCAGTCTTCCTTATTGGTTGTCTAGCTTTCAAATGCCTGTGAGGCAATTGAAAACACCATGGTTTGGATCTGGTGCATCTTGTTCCTCAAAGTGACATTATTGCTTTTTAACTCTTCTCTGAAGAGTTTGCAACATATTTTTCCAATGCAATAAGGTGTTTACTTTCTAGATTGCTGCTTCCATAGGTATTAATTGTAAATCCACAGACAATGAAATCATACAACTTCAATTTTTTTTTCCTTTTTATCATGATGTTGCTTATTATTCCAGGTGTTAGGATTTAGAGGGGTGTGTGTGTGTGTGTGTGTGTGTGTGTGTGTGTGTGAGAGAGAGAGAGAGAGAGATAAGATATAGTTATACTGAAGTCTTTGATCTTTGTCAGCTAGTCCTTCAAGTCCTTGTTGCTTTTTTAAGCAAGGTTGTATCACTTGCATATGATAGGTTGATAGTCTTCCTGGGATCCTGATGCCATGATCCTCTTCATACAATCCAGCTTTCTGAATGATTTGCCCAGCATACAATTTGAATAAATATAATGCAAGAATATGATCCTGATATACATCTTTTCTGATTTTCAATCACACTGAATCCTTTTGCTCTTTTCAAATGGCTGTCTCTTGGTCTATGAACAGGTTTTGCATGAACACAATAAAAGTTCTGGAATTCCCATTCTTCACAATGTTATCCATAATTTATTATGGAGCATGTTATGGAGAAGTACGGCAAAAAGATTCAGCCATAAAAACTTTTACTGTCAACTGATTAAAATCATGTTTCATAGATAATAAAACATGTAAGACACAGTGATTGTTTATTATCGAGATTTATGCAGTGACTTGCAAACCTCAAGGCACTTTTACAAAGTCACGCACCATGCAAACTAAATGCCACAAATGGATCATTTCATTTCAGACTCCATTGAAATGCAAATGCCCCAGGAGACAGTGTTACACGTTGAGTCATAAACGTAGGGAAGCTCCCCCACCCCCAACTGCTTATTTCATTAGAAATAAGGAATGAGAAATTAGTAATTATGTGGGGGGAGTGCCTATGTTTATGATTCAACATGTAATACTGTCTCCTGGGGAATTTATATCTCACTGGAGTCTGAAATGAAATGATCCATTTACTGCATTTAGCATTTATGGTTCATGACTTTGTAAAAGTGCTTGTGGTTTGCAAGCCACTGCATAAATCTTGATAATAAACACTCATTGTGACTTATACTATTATCTCTGAAACATGATTTTAGCAACTTCACAGTGTAAGATTTTATAACTGAATCTTTTTGCCATGCTGCTGTACACATTAGCTTGATAAATTTTTGTTTGCATGTTTTTGCAGATTAGGATTCTTCTGACCTCCTTTATATGTCCTTAGAGTTGGGAATTTAAAAAAAAAATAATAAACCTTTTGACATTTGCCTTTTATTACTAGTAATCTTATAGTTCAAACTCATAAATGTTTGAAACAAAACAAAATCCCCACTTTTGAAAATTAGATTATACCGTGTTCTTAACAACAAATAGTTCTTTAGGACTTTGCTGAGAGCATGTAAATGACATAAAAACGTGCCTGTCTTACCACTTCTGGATACTCTAAAAGTAATTGAAGTAGAAGATTCTGGATTGCATAGCAGAAAATGTGAAACAAAACTAAAACACATGATAGATAATGAACACTGAATTAGAACAGTTGAGGGGAAGAACTTTCTGAAAAGGAATATATGATTTTGCATTACATGTATGAGAACAATCTCGAACAAGGGGTGCATTGTGGTCTGGGCTGGAGGAGGGGGATGGAAGAGCGAGAGAAAATGTACCACAGTGAATAAAATAGGAAACAAAACAAAATAACCCTGGAAAACATACAAAATGCCAGGCTTAAATGTCTCTGATAGAGACTTGTGGAACCTCCACGATTATGGCCCTTTGTCATCCTTCAAAACTGGAACAAACCTCATCCCAGGGGCTCAACTTGCAGTGAAACAATAGATACGGTTTTTTGTGGGTTTTAAAAAATTTTATTTTATTAATTTTAATGAACATTTACAGAGATTTTGGATTTCCATTTATTCATCGTTGCACTTTTCTCCCTGCCCCCCCCCCACCCCCGCAGTTCGCTCCTCTCTTTGAAAAGTGAAAGAAAAATTCCTTCATTGGTATACTATGCCCCTGCCCTGGCCCCAAGTACACTCCACAGTGCAACCTTAATTCTGGATTCTTGTGACAACCATAATACCCTATCAAATATCGCTTTTAAACTGTTCTCTCCCTCGTCTGTTTCAATGCAGTACACATAATTTATCCAGTTTTTCTCAGTCTTAGACCCCAACCCTGATGTCAGTCCCATTCTACAACACTGGTACAATGCGGTATTTGTCTTTTTGTGACTGAGACATTTTACTCCTCCAGGGTCACCCAATTTGAATAATATTGCATGAGTTCCTTGAAACGATAGATGTGTTTTTAAGGTGAACTGTACCACTAGGGAGGTACTCACTTCTTAGAATGATCAGTCACATCAAATCAAAAGTGCAGCCTCTGCCAAGGGATAAAGTTCAGAAGGTAGAAAAGGATAGGATAAAAGGATTAATGGAAATGAGGAAGAACATGGGGAGAGTGGTTACATTGTGTTATAATTGTCACAAAATAAAACAGGAGCTCTGGTGGTTTAGTGGGTAAGGAATTGTGCTGCCAACTCAAAGGCCAGCGATTTGAATCCAACAGCTACTTTGAGATAGAAAAAAAAATGAGTCTTCTTGTGTGATTTACTGTTCTGAAAACCTACCTGCTGGACAGTCAGCTATGAGTAGGTTCTGACTTGACAGCACATAATCGCACAACAAATTAAAATGTGTATGAATTTGCTTTGTAAAATTTCAATCAAATAACTATGAAAAGAAGGTTGTTGTTGTTGTTATGTGCCATCAAGCCATTTGCGACTCATAGCGACCCTATGTACAACAGCCCTAAACCCTGCTCTATCCTGTGCCAATCTCATTGCCTCTGACACACCCATCCCGATTACCCCAGTCACTGTCTCTATGAGGGTCTTCCCCTCCTGCGCTGTCCCTCCACTCTACCTAGCATGATGTCCCTCTCTAAAGACCTGTCTCTCCTTACAACATGTCCAAGGTATGTCAGACGAAGCCCCAGAATCCTTGCCTCCAAGAAGTAGCCTGGCTTAACCCTCTCTAGGATGAATCTGTTTGTTTTCTTGGCAGTCCATGGTACATTCAATACTCTTCTCCAGCACCACAGCTCAAAGGTGTCAATTCTCCTTCTGTCCTCCCTAGTCACTGTCCAACTCTCTGATGCATAACAAGTGATTGCAAAAACAATGGCCTGTATCATGACCTGAAAAGAAGGTATAATCTTTTAATATGTTATAGCTTGTTGTGGTGGTTAATTGTCATACTTATGTATAACCAAACCCAAACCAAACCCACAGCTATTGGGTTGATTGTGACTCGAAGCAATGCTCCATTGGCTTTCTGAGGCTACAGATCTTCATGGGAGAAGACAGCCAGTAGTTCTCCTTTGGAGCAGCTGGTGGTTTCAAGTGGCTCACCTTTTGTTTAGCAGTCCAGTATGTTACACATTATGCTGCCAGTGATTTTTTTTTTTACTATATGTATTATGAATGAAATAGTGCCCTGTCCTGTACCATCTCCATGATCTTTGATATGTCTGAGCCCTTTGTTGAAGCCATAAATACAGGGTGTTATTGTTGTTGAGTATTGTCGAGTTGGAACTGACCCATAGCTGACCCTCCAGTGAGTTTTCAGAGAAAGTTAATTGCACAAGAGGAGATTGCCTATCTCCTATGGAGCAGCTGGTAGATTCGAATGCACAGCTTCTTGCCACTAGGCCCCTAGTGCTCGCTTATAGGTCAAAAAAATTATTCCACTTAGAGACGAAACTGTATAGACCTTGCAGAAGACAGTCCTGGAAAGTTCTGTAAAATGTAGAACATTTAAGTCCGTTTGCTCCTGCGAGTTCTGGACATAATCTCACTGGCTTCTCATTGTTTACAGACGAAGATGACTGTGCTCCCATGAACTGTGCCACACATGCTTTGTGCAGCTCAAAAGGAGACAATGCCACGTGTCAGTGTTTGGAAGGATTTGCTGGTGATGGAAAGCAATGTTCTGGTAATAACAAAAACCAAGCATACAGAGTATCTGGAAAATTGTTATTATGTACATAGCTGGCCCTCTACCAGGTTTTCAGAGTCTGTAAATCACATGGGAAACGATTTTCCATCTTTCTCCTACTGAGCACCTGGTGGATTTGAACCACTTGCCTTTGGGTTGGCCACGCAGCTCTTTACCTACTAGGCTACCAGAGTTCTCTGTGGAAAATAGTGAGCCAGAAACATTCTTTCAGCTCACACGGACTCAAAAATCTCCAGAAGGTGGATGTACTAAGCAAGACTGAAGAAATTATTTGTTATTAGCTAAGAGGCCTACATATAAAAACAAAAATGTAATATGCTATTGATTTTAACTTAAAACTTACATAATACATGCATTTAATAGTTGAAGGAAATTTGATAATTAGTTTCAAAGGCATGAACTTGAATTCAAGTAAAATTTATAAACTTTCTAATGGCAACAAAACTATTTTTATTCCCCACCACCGCCACCCAGATAGTTTTTGTCAGATAGATAAATTGTGATAGTTTGGTTTTGATTTTACATTGTTAGTTTCAAAATTATATTAGTGGTTACTAAAAACAAACCAAATAACAAACCCACAAACAAAAATCATAGTTCTTTTATGGCCTGACACCCTGGCGCAACATGATTATTTGCATGTACTTGGCTAGTTAGACCTGTGGAAACTTAGTGAGAATGACAACAGACTTAAAAGTGAACTTTTATGTTTAAGATGTAGGGTTCAGATTACATTGTCCAACAATCACAGTAAATCAGCTGAATGCGTATAAATTTGTGCTGATTCTTTTTTGCCATTCCCATTTCTACCAGGATTGTGTATGTATGTGTCACTCACTTGTAATTTCACCTACAGATATAAATGAATGTGAGGACATCACGGTGTGCCCTGCAGGCTCATCACGATGCATCAATACTGAAGGTGGCTATGTCTGCATGTGCCAAGAAGGCTACCACGGAGACGGAATTCACTGTCTCAGTAAGAGAGTGGCAGGCGGGGGAGGATAATCGCAAAGCACTGTGGGTGCCGTGGGCCAAGAGCAGGCAGGCTATAATTGCACACATGTCAAGACTAACAGAGGACTTGTTCGACCTGTTCAAGCTGACATATTTCAATTCTTGGTAAATAGTCAAATTTGTGCCTCTTTTCTGTGACTGAATCTACTCAATAGTAACTTGTGTGGTGTCTTGGTTAGAGATCTGAGTGCATTAGGCAACTTCAAGACTGTGCAGAGACCTTCTGCCTCGCTAATCCTTCCATCAGAGCTTGAGTGACAGCCGTGCCTCCTCAACACTCCGGGTCAGATCCATGAGAGGGGCGGGGTGGATGGCTTACCATTTTCTTTGCCATTGAACTTGTCCACTGAGCTATGATGAGCTGCAAAGCTGCTGTAGGTTTGCCAGACATCATGGCTGTGAACACAAAGAAAAGGAGGTGTTCTAGATCCAGACTTAGCAGGTAACACTTGACAAATTGAATAGATGGAAGATTTGGGTCACTGACATTTGGATGCAAAATCAGAATGATTAAAGTCTCTTTCACAATCATCCTCCCCTGCCAAGGCCTCAGGGTGGGACTTCACTGCAGGGATATCTTACCCTACCAGTTGTCGATAATATAACACCTCCACACATATGATGACCTGCCTGCCATTGTCTGGACTTTCCAATCTCTCTGTTAGTGTATATTATTTCCTTTTATGAAAACAAAGATCTTTTTTACAGTAATGTGCAGATGCTCCAGTAAGTCACCAGAATGGTACTACTTTCTCCCACGTGTTATATTTACAGTTGAAATCTCAATCATTAACCACCAATTTTCTGGATCTGGTTGGTGTAAATCAGTCTTTATCAGATTAGCTTTCTGGAGTCCACAGATGTCCATAAATGCTCTTGTAAGCACATACTTGGCTGCCAGTCAGGAAAATGTCACGGCTCTCATTAAGCAGGCTTGTGGATAATTTAGACAAACAGGCTTCATGTGTTCTTTCCTTTGATGAGGAATGAAGGTACCCCTTCCTTTTTTATGTTTAAACATTTTAGACTCTGAATTCTCACTCTTACTAACTCACCACCTTTCAGTAGTGAATGCATAAGATGGTGCCATGGCCCTCACTGTCTGGCATCTTTGGGTGTCGTGGAAGCAGGCGGCTTTTTGCTTACTGTTCACTTGCAGGTGCTGATAGTTAATGATTGCAATAAGGAAATCATTACACACACACACACACACACGGTCAATTTAGGCCATTCACAGTAACAATTTGATGCAGTAAGTATCTAATTGGTCCTTGTCTGGTGCAAAGCAACTGGCAACTGTATAATCAGGTATTATAAACTGTGAGAACATCAGGATAATAAAGGCAGTCTGCCTGCAAGAAGTATATGCTCTAAAGGAAGGGTAGCTATTAGAAATAGTGAAGAAAGGTGCACATCACAAGAAAACTAAAAGCCACGTCTAGAGTTCAGAGCATTACGAAATTGTAGCTGGTTGTACAGGAAGTGTCATTTAAGGTCGACCTTTGAGGATGAGCTTCATTAAGTAGAAATATATAGGGGTGGGGAGAATTCCTGACATGAACAAATCACAGGTCTCCCTCATTGCCCAGTAGGCATGATGTATAAATTGTAAATGAGAGAATAGCAGAAATTGAGACATGTAAGGTGGTTGGGTTGGTTTGCAGAAGAGTGGAATCCAAGAGTGTGTCATTAGGATTGTAATTCTCCAGGTCAGTGTTGTCAAATAGAATTTCTGTGTGTAGTCGAAAGCTTGATACCAGTCACGTTGTTTGTTGTTGTTATGTGCTATTGAGTCACTTGCAACTCATAATAACCCTATGTACAAGAGCCCTAAACCCTGCTCTATCCTGTGCCAACCTCACTGTCTCCAACACCTACTCCCACTAGCCTAATCACTGACTCAATCCATCTCTTCGAGGGTCTTCCTCTCCTGCACCGTCCCTCTATCCACCCAAGCATGACGTCCCTCTCCAAGGACTGGTCCCTCCTTGCAACGTGCCCAAAGTATGTCAGATGAAGCTTCAGAATCCTTGACTCCAAAGAGCATTCCGGCTTCACCTTCTCCAGGGCAAACCTGTTTGTTCTCCTAGCAGTCCATGGTATATTCAACACTCTTCTCCAGAACCACAGCTCCAAGGCATCAATTCTCTTTCTATCATCCCTACTGACTGTCCAGCTCTCTGATACATTGCACGTAATTGCGAAGACTAAAGCCCAGATTGGGAGCACCTTAGTCTCCAGCCTGACATCATTGCTTTTCAGTACTCTGGAGATGTCCCTGACAGTTGACTTTTCCAATGCAATTCGTCTCTTGATTTCCTGGCTGCTAGTACCAAGAGTGTTGACTGTGGAACCAAGTAAACTAAAACAATCTCTTCACCATCCATACTGATGCTGTCAATTGGTTCAGTGGTGAGAATCTTTGTCTTCTTGACACTGAGCCTCAATCCATATTGAAGGCTTCAGTCCTTGACCTTCTGCAGCAAGCCTTTCAGGTCCTCCTCAGTTTCAGCAAGCAGGGTTGTGTCATCTGCATAACGCAGGTTGTTAATGACTCTTCCTCCAATCCTGATGCCACATTCCTCGTCCTACAGCCCAGCATCCCGGATGATTATGAAAGTAAAATAGTGAGGTTCCTTTTAAGAACAAATTTTCTTTAAAGCAGTGCTTTTTTGGAACAGTGACTGTAACAAAGAGGACTGAGTGTGGCAGAGATGATTAGGTTGGCACAGGATAGGGCAAGATTTCGATCAGTTGTTCATAGGGTCTCTGTGGGTTGTGGACAACTCTGTGGCATCAAACAACAATCCAAATATTGCCCTTTAATATGTAAATAATATATAAAATTATTCATGAAATATTTACATTCTTTTTATTTTGGTACTTCATTAATAGCCTAGGACTATTGTAGCAAATTTTCACCAACTTGGTGGGTTAAAACAACAGAAATTTATTCTCTCAGCATTGTGGAAGACAGAGGTCTAATAAGATGTCATAGAGAACACCGGGCTATGGACCTTCTTTTCTTTGATTGTGTCTACATCACTCCTATCTCTGCCTCTACCATCACATGGTCTTCTTCCCGTGTCTTTATGCTTTTTCTACTCATAAGAACACAATCATTGGATTTAGGGTTGAGGATAGTGAACTACGTCTCACATACTTTGGGCATATTGTCAGGTGAGGCTGGTCCTTGGGAAAATATATTATGCCAGGAAAGGTCAGTGAAAGAAAGGAAGACTCTGAAGGAGATGGACTGACACAATGACTGTAACAATGAGCTGAAGCCTGTGCGGGATCATGGAAATGGTGTAGGATCGGGCAAGGCTCAGGTCTGTTGTTCAGAGTGTCACTATGAACAATAGAGGACTCAACAGAATATAACAACAAACAACAAGCTCCACTGTGGCCTTATCTTAACTTGATTACATCTGCAAAGATCCTCCTTTCAAATAAGAGCACATCTACAGGTTCTGGAATTTACAATCTGAATACACGTTTTAGATAAACACAATTCAACCCATTTCTACGTCCCATCTCTTCAAAATCTAATGTGTGTTTTACACTCAGAATACGTTTCACTTCAGATATAAGTATATTTCAGAGGACAGAGTAGGGCTTAGTGCTGTTGTACATAGGGTCACTATGAGTCACAAGCGACTCGACGGTACAAAACAACAACAATTCTCACGTATGGGTAGTGGCTATCATGCTGGACAACACAGCTCTAGGCAAAGGGAGTCAACGTTTGAAAGAAGTGGTGCAATGATTGTGGAATGTAGTTTAGGAAGATTAATTCAGTGTTGGTGTTTGTGAGTAGAATACAAGGGAGATGGAATGTGGGGAAAGAATCTAGTAGGCTATTTTTTTTCTCCCCTAGTAATATCATTATTTGAGAAGTAGGGTGATGGTAATTGAAAAAGGAAAAAAATTAGGTGGGAATGAATGAGAAGATTTCATTTCTTCAGTGTTTGTGAAAAAGCAAATATGTCTTATTTGAAAGAACATGTAAGCCAGTGACTAAGCATCATGTGTGAAAGTACGAATCTTTAGGATCTGAACTTGTAAATGTCTGCCAGTCTCTGTCTCACCCTGCTTAGCTGGTTATGTTGGAAGGTCTTCTTCATTCCTCCTGAGCAGTAGGAATTCATCTAGCTTTGAGTTGGAAAAATGATACACCTGAGTGGGTGTGTAACCGAGGCACATAAATCATCTCTCTCTCTCTCCAACATTCACAGGTGTATGTTCCTGTTTGGTTGGTTGTATGTGCGTGTGTTTTAGTTGGGGCAAATATGCGCAACAAAATATTTGCCAATTTAGCAGTTGTCACAGTGCAATTTGGTGACCCTAGACAAGTTTGTCTTGTTCAATCAACTCTCATCATTAATCCAGATCCCATCCCCTTTTGGATTCCACCCTAATCCTGACCCTAAAAGCTCAACATCCACTACGCATTGTACCATCCTTTCCCTCCTCCTAAAGAGAGGGTGAAACCCAGCTGCTCCTTCGAGGTAAGGATTCTGAAGCTTCATCTGACATATTTTGGACACGTTGCAAAGAATGACCAGTCCTTGGAGAGGGACATCATGTTTGGGAGGGTGGAGGGACAGCACAGGAGAGGAAGGTCCTTGATGAGATGGATTGATTCAGTGACTGGGTAATGAGGGCAGGTGTGTCAGAGACAAAAATGTTGGCACAGGATAGAGCAGGTCTCAGGGCTGTTGTACATAGGATCGCTATGGGTCGCAAACAACTTGATAGCACATAACAACAACAATGAGCTCTCGTAGTGAACTCAGGTGATCTAATCCAGGTCCAGTAGTGTTCTGTGCACTTACCCAAATGTGGCACCTCTTGGATGATTCAAATCCATCAGTGACTGAGTGAGAGGAAGATCTTCTCCTGAATGAGTTACAGCCTTTGGAAAAGCCCCTAAAAGGTTAACAATGAGTCAGCTCTGGCTCAATGGCAACAACCCTTTTTTGTTTTGTTTTCTTTTCTTTTCATGACCTTATTTTAAGCCTAGAAATGGGTAAGGCTCTGAGAAGATGGAGTATTACAGAAGGTAAAGATGTTTAACTTCAGATATATTGCTGCCTTTCCTTGCAAGTACCCTGTTCTCCTCCCCTTCCTTCCACTTTGCTGACAGGTATTGGTGGGTGTCCACTAGGCACGTACCCCTGGGTAGAACATGCCATCTGTCTAAACATTGAGAGAAATTACGCTCACATGTACCTCAGCAGCCTGTCTGAACCTGGGCAAACTTGCCTTGATAGATTGGTAGGAGGCATAGATAAAAGAGGAGGAACTTGATTCAGAAAAGTTTCTGTTCCCAAGTGTGTTTGCATTAGAGAGTCAAGAAATTATTCCATTCAGACAAACTGGGGAGTTTGCTTTCATGATTGGCTGGTGCAGGGAATGAGAATTTGAAATGGTCCAAGTTGCCTTAATTTAATAGCATCTGGCATAAATCCTTTTTTATTACTCACAGTTCAATAAAGGTGGGAACACAGGTGGTTCTCTTTAACTCTACAACTAATCTCTTGATTTGTAATGTTGATTTCTGGGGCTGCTGGAAAACTTCCGCTGGGCTAAGCGGTTCTGTGAGGATGTCTGCACTTTTATTATTTTTAATCACTTCCAAAGGTTTTAACATATTGCTTTAAACATCTACTATTTCTTCATCTGAATTGGAATGCCACCTGTCTTTTCCTTCTGTGTAAATGTTCATGATGGTTTCCTGCTTTCTAAACCTTCTCAGAATCTTCTCACCCTCAGCGCCCAAGGAGGGAAACTGGTTTCCTCAAGCCCCCTAAACAGGAATGATGGTCCTTTCCACATCACCTTACCACCCACTGTTTGCTTTTTTTAGTCCTTAAAGCAGAAAACACACGCAGGAAAGGAAGTTCTGAGCTAGCTTGGGTCTCTATTTTGTTGTTGCTGACTGTGTCGAACCAGCTCCCAGCTCTTACCAACCCCACGCATTAGAGTAGGGTTTGTCTGGACCTTAATCTTTACAGAAGCTGATTACCAGGCTTATCTTCTGCACATCTGCTTAGTGGGTTTGAACGTCTAACTTTTAGGTTAGCAGCTGCTAAAAAAACTGCTTGCTTGACCCAGTCTCCTCTTTTGCTTGTTGAACATGCCACTTAATTCAGATGATTTACTCTTCTTAAAAGGCCCTGGAAACTGAGCTCAAGAATGCTTTTCTTTTAAGGAGTGGTAAACCACTCAATGAATGGGACTTTATCACCTTGGCATTCCCTTACATTTTGATAACATTTCTTTTCTGTCAGAGTTGCTACAATCTTGTTTTTGGAGGATTCCCTCGATGTTAAATAGTTTTTAGAAGAAATCACTGTGTGGGTGACATTTGTTAGACTCTCGGAATATTGAGGCTAATGGACTGTGTGTTGGTGGGTGGTTTTCAAGCCATGAAGAGACATTGGCTGTTTCATGAAATGCTCTTAAAGCTAGCTGTCATCGTGCATGGTTTGTGCGTGCGCATGGCTGACAGATTTGCTTTCACAACGGATTAGCGACTTTATACATGGTGACATTGGTTTGATCATGCTCTTAACTGCTTCCAATGTGCTTCACATCAAATAACACTGAACCTAAAGAAAGAACTGGCTTCAAGGAAGATGCATAAGACCTGGTGAGGGGAGGTGGGACTATTGTTTCTCTAGCTAGTTTTGCCACCAAAAGACACCATTTAACCATTCTTAAAAACTAGTTCTTCATATAGATTCCAGAGAAGCCATAGTGGCATTAGAAAATGAAAGTAATGCTGTTGATTCTTCTAGGCACAACTTCACCTTCTCCTCTCAGGGATGATGACCTCCAGTCTGGGAGACATATCTACCACAGATGTCCTCCGTCATACGATGGGTACTGCCTCAATGGAGGCATATGCATCCACATTGAACCAGAAGAGCAGTATGCATGCATGTAAGTGAAACTTGTCTTTCAAATTGGACATTGAAGTTCATAGTTTTTATCTAATATGTATATACCGAGGAGATTTCAGTAACAATTAAATCTCTCTTTAAAATCCAAGCAAAACCACTGTTATCAAGTCAATTCTGCTTCAAGGTGGCCTTCTATCAGGTTTATAAAGATGTAAATATTTACAAGAAGAGAATGCCCATCTTTCTCCCTCAGAATGGCTAGTGAATTTGAACCACTGACCTTTAGGTTAGCAGCGCAACACATTACATGCTATGCCTGAATGCCTCCTTAGAATTCTCCTTCTGAAACAAATATATTGCTATATGATTGTGTGCTTGTGTGTGAATGTGCTTCTCTTGCCCCCTGCCGCACCTGCCCCTGGCAAAGATCAGTGGGAATATAAACCTGGGGAATTTGTGACTTTTACCTGAATATTCTGAAGTTGTCCCCACACTTCTGATAACCCCATGGAGAGCAAAACCCAGTCCTGCTGCCCACTCTTGTACAACCCCATGGTCAGTCTTAGATTTGACTCCTAATCAAAACAGTTAATCATTTGCTGATTTTCAGAAGTAGATCACCAGACCTTCCTTCCTAGTCCATCTTGGCCTGCAAGCTCTCTTAAAACTTGCTAATACATCATGCAGCCCTGAACAGCCCTCTGCTGACAGATTGGTAGTGATGCTTGAAGTGCTCTGGTCAAAAATGAAACTCAGGTCTCCCAAGGGAAGGCAAGAAGTCTGCCTTTGAATCACCACCATGCCCCCTACTTTAAGTACAGTCTGGAGAGTAAACTTTTTCCTCTTAATTAAAAAATTCAGATTTGTGAACTAATTCTTTAAACTTTAATTTCTTTTTTGCCAAATATTTGGATAGTATCCACAATGTGTTTCTGGATTTGCCAAAAGGTTGTACACATTCATGGAGTCCCCAGGTGGCACAAATGGTTAAATGCTAAACTACTAACCCAAAGGTTGGTGGTTTGAACCTACCCAGAGGCACCTCAGTAGAAAAGCCTGGTAATTTGAGTCCAGAGGGTCATAGCCCTGGAAACCTTGTAGAGCACAATTCTACCTTTGAGGGAAAAAAATGGTGTCATTATGGATTGGAATCTGTTCAATGGCAACTGGTTGATGGGTTAGCTGTACATAATCACAACTGGATTTCTTTTTTTCTCTAATTATTTAAAACCCCAAGGTTTGGGGGTTTTTTTCTCTTCACATTCACATAGTTGGGTTTTTACTTCTTTGATGTTTTGTAACAATTTCTGGATATAGTAATTTTCCCTGTTTGCTTTCTCTGTGTATTATTCTCCTTCCCAATAAGAGCTTCAAAGTAGGCAAAGTGTCAACTTGACAGTTGGATTGGAGGCCTAAAACTCTGATACTTCTTCTGTGCTTTCTCAGTAGACTTTTCAGGAAGCCTTAAATATTCACCATACCTAGCTAAAATTTTGCTCTTCATTAATTTTATATATTCACTGTATAGAAACTGCAGATACCAAAGAATAAATAAGTCTCCCATGACTATACTTCTGACCAATGACTTCATCTTCGTGCCTGGGGAAGAAGTAATTAAATATTCTGATCCTCACAAAAAGGTGTTATATACTCACAGGCTTTCATTACTTTATCCATAGTAATAAGCTTAAACATAACCTAAATTATTGGAGTAGTATGTTATATTTTGTGACAAAATATGTACTCTTACATTATAAACCTTGTCAACCACACAGAAAGAATGAGAAATGTTCATGAATATTAGTCAAAATGACTCAGCACTAATAGGATTCTACTTCTTAGGTTCATAATCACATAGTGTAATTATTAAAGCTAAGATATAGTACTTAAACCTAGTTATTTTTTTATTTAAATACTAAGAAATAAATTGTTTTGAATCTTTTCATTACTTCTTATTATCCCCAAAATGAAATTAATAAAAGTCCTATTTTATCATGTCATAGTTTATGACACTTAAAATTTGGACTATAACGCTATAATAAAATACAGTGCATCAAAGGACTGCACACTACATTTAGAACAATATTTTCATTTGGAATTGATATCATCTATTTGTTAAATGATTAATGAACTCTTTAGAACACTGCTTTTCTTTCTGTCATTTAAAGCTGGATGAAAAGATCCTATTTGCTTGCTAATGATTTATAAATTAGTTGCTGAAGAATGACAATTAAATAGGAGGTAATATTAACATTTAAGAACCTTTTCTTAAGAAAAACTGGATGAAATATGTTTTCGGCATTGAAGTCTATGGGGGAGAGAATAGTTTAAAAGTATATTTTAGGGAATTATGTTTATCATACGAGTACGCAATGAGGGTTGCAGAGTGGATTATATTTGGGGTTGGGGGTGGGGTTGGGGGAGGTGCGGGGGGGATTTTGTACCAATGGGGGAGTTTTTCTTTTGCTTTTCAAGGAGAGGAGCAAAGGGGGGGGAGGTGGGCGGGGAGAAGGGTGCACCAATGAATGAATGGAATTCCAAAATCTCTGTAGATGTTCATTGAAATGAAAAATAAATTAAAATTAAAAAAATATTACCTAATTCACAATAATTGGGACAATATCTTTGCTTTTTAATTCTCCGTTTCATAAAAACGTAGTTCAGTTTAAGAATTCAGCTCTTCCTTTCTCTTGTCCTGATGAACTTGTGCCATTAATTCCGTGATAACAAATCTCTGTTTCCTCCTCAGTGGCATGAATTGACACAGTGACCACAACAATAGACAGAGATTGTGAGGACAGCATAGCATCAGGCAGGGCTTCCTTCAGTTCTACCAAGATGTGGCGATGAATTGGAGCAAACTCAATGGCATTTACCACCACAAATATTATTGGAAACTTTCCATAGATGTAATTCCTTACAAAGTGTTCTTAATGGTATGAACAGGTTATGAAGGAAAGATTCTGCTGACCTTGCTTGTAGGCTGTGGACATTTCTTACAAAACTCAACATGTCCTATTGTGGTTCAGAGGAAGTTAGAACTAGAAGTCTCTGTGTCCATGATGTCCCTCAAATTTCCTGGCCTGAAACTGTCAGAAGCCAAATTACATGTGCTTGAACCAACATACACCCTTTTGGGCAAGTCTTCTCTAAACCAGGGAAACCCAAACCCAAACCCAAGAACCATCAACGTGACCATCTAGTTGATTCTAACTCTTTGTAACTCGTGAGGCTTCGTGGTAAGGCGTTACACTGTCAACCCAAAGGCAGGCGGTTTGAATCCACCAGCTATTCCTCAGGGGGAAAATGAACAATCTCCTCCTGTGTGATTACAGACTCTGACAATCTGCTGGTGGGTCAGCTATGAGTCAGTTCCCACTCAGTGGCAAATAACAACAACAACGTCATAATAATATCGTGTGTGAGAGTAGAAAAATGCAAACTCCATCGTTTTCTTGGATGAAGTCTTCATGAAGAGCTCTGGGTGGGGGCACTGAGTATGTGGTCTGTAGGGAATTGCACTTAACCCCAAGATCATGCTTCCACAGTAGTTCAAATATACTCACAGCTCTATGGGAGAAGGATGAGCCATCTAATCCCAGCCTCAGAAACCCCATAGAGGGTTAACTTGGAGTTGGTCCCAACTAGAGAGAAGTGAGTTTGAGTTTTTCAATCTTTACGAACGTGGATGGCGACATCTTTCTTTCGTGGTACCAAGGAAATCTGGTGGAGCGGTCTGCTCTGAAACGCAGGGGGTTATCAGGATTGAAATTAATTAGACAATAGCTGATTTGGTTTTGGTTTCAGATGATTTGCTAGTTGTGTTACCTTGTATCCATTATTTAGCCCGTTTGGACTTCAGTTTTCCTATCTATAAAATGGAACTATTGTTAGCATTGCTCTTGAAAGTAATTAAAAGTACCTTCCATGATACTAGGCATGTAAGATACTTAACAAATGCTAGTTCCATTTTCTTTCTTCCCCTGAAAGTGACTTACTGAGCTCCTGTTGTTGTTGTTGTTAGTGCCATCAAGGAACCTGTGATTCATAGCAACGCTGTATAAAACAGCTCTGAAGCCTGTCCTGTCCTGAGCCAGTGTCACTGACTCTGACATGCCTACCATTGCTCTAGTCACTGTATCAATCCATCTCATCCAGGATCTTCCTCTCCTGTGCTGTTCCTCCACCCTTCCAAGCATGATGTCCTCCTTCTCCAAAGATCAGTCCCTTCTTGCCACGTGACCAAAGTATGTGAGATGGAGTTTAAAATCCTAGCCTCCAAGGTTTCACCCTCTCCAAGACAGACTTACTAAAAATAGAACCAGAGCCATAATCTGTACCTTCCTTGAGCTTAGTCCAATGTTGGATTGGGTTTTTTTTTTTTCCATCCTACCAATGTGGAAACTGGTATAAGTTCTCTATGAATCCCGTTAAGTCTTAAAGGAAATTGAGGACATAAACAGATAATTAATCAATCCAGTGCAAAAAAAAGGAAAGAATTATAAGTGAACATAGTGAAATGAGGGAGCTTTGGTGGCCTAGTGGCAAGAAGTTGGGCTGCAATCCCAAAAGCTCCTGGTTCAAGGCCATCTGCTGCTCTGCAGGAGAAGGATGGGCAATCTCCTTCTGTACGATTAACTGCCTCTGAAAATCCGCTGGAGGATCAGCTATGGGTCAGTTCCAAATCTATCGTACATCATGAAATGTTTGCTAGTATATTTTTAAGATTTATCCATACAGAATGGTCTATTGAGCTCTGGAGACTTAATGGATAATTGCATTATTAATTGAAGTATTAATGCATAATAGCATTAATAGTTCAATGCCAGCTCAAAGGCTCACAGTTCAAATCCACCAACTGCTCTTCAGAAGAAAGACGAGCAGTCCTTATTGTGCAGGTAACAGCCTCTGAAAACCCACTGGAGTGTCAACTATGAGTGAGTTCCAACTCAATGGCAATGAAAGAGAGGATATAGAGAGCTGGACTGAGATTGACTCTCATAAAGAATACAGGAGTACAATTGCTCAGTCCTTGGCTTTTATTTCTAACCAACCCAATACTGGCTGGAAGTGTGTATTCCCAGCAGATGGCAGCATTGCTTCATTTACTGTAAAGGTTCTTCATTTCTGTTGATTGCTGATCTTTCTATTAGTAATTTCATTGAGACAGCTAAATGTTTATGGATGAAAGTCCCTTCTCTTCCTCCAAATAGTTGTGGGTTTTCTTTTTTTCTTACTAAATAGAATAGGTTATATTATAGCTATTATAGCTAATGTTAGATGGCAGAAAGCAGAGAGTGCTAGAGGAATGTCTATGTGTGCTTCATTGACTATGCAAAGGCTTTTGACTGTGTGAATCACAAGCTGTGGCTGACTCTGAGAAGAATGGGAATCCCAGAACATTTGATTGTGCTAATGAGAAACCTATACTTTAACCAAGAGGCAGTTGTCAGAACAGAGCAAGGAGACACTGCCTGGTTCAAAATAGGGAAGGGTGTCTGCCAGGAATGTATTTGCCTCCATACCTTTTCAATCTGTATGCACAACAGACCATTCGCGACACTGGGCTGTATGAGAAGGAATGTGGCATCAGGAGTGGTGGAAGATTCATTAAGAACCTATGTTGTGCATATGACACATCCCTGCTTGCTAAAACTGAGGAGGACCCGAAGCGCTTGCTGCAGAAGGTCAGGGACTGCAGTCTTCAATATGGATTGAAACTCAACAACAAGAAAACAAAAGATTCTCTCCACTGGGCCAAATGACAGTATCATTATGGATGGTGAAGAGATTGAGATAGTAAACAGTTTTAGTTTACTTGGCTCCACAATCAACACTCTCAGTACCAGCAGCCAGGAAATGAAGAGACTAATTGCTTTGGGAAAGTCAGCTGTCAGAGACCTCTTCAGAGTACTGAAGAGCAATGATGTCAGGCTGGAGACTAAGGCGCACCAGATCCAGGCCATAGTCTTCACAATAGTGTGCTATTCATTGGAGAGCTGGACAGTGACTAGGGATTATAGAAAGAGAATTGATGCCTTTGAGATGTGGTGCTGGAGAGGAGTGTCAAATATACCATGAACTGCTAGAAGAACAAACAGTTTTGTCCTGCAGAGGGTGAAACCGGGCTGCTCCTTGGAGTCAAAGATGCTGAAGCTTCATCTGATATATTTGGACATGTTGCAAGGAGATCCTTGGAGAGGGACATCATGTTTAGGAGAGTGGAGGGACAGCACGGGAGAAGACCCTTAATGAGATGGATCGATTCTGTGAGTGGGATAATGAGAGTAGGGGTGTCAGAGACGGTGAAGTTGGCACAGGATAGAGCAGGGTTAAGGGCTGTTGTACATAGGGTCACTATGAGTCACAAGCAACTCGACTGCACATAACAACAACAACAAGTTGAGTCTGTATGTCAAAACTGAGACATTTTCTCTTGGGTTAATAAGAAAACCTCCTTGCCAAGGAGTTGGAACCAACTCATAGCTGATGTTCCAGTGGAATATGGGAGGCTGTAAATTGTACAGGAGGAGATTATTCCTCTTTCTCCTGAGGGACAGCTGGTGGATTCAAACCACCCATCTTTGGGCTGGCAGAACAACTTCCTATGTACTATTCCATAAAGCTCCCTTTGGGACTAATAGTGATTTTTTTTTAAGCAGAAAAATTTCCCTCAGCATTTTTGGTTTTATCTCCTTTTCAGAGACTAGCCTTGTCTAGGTACAGGGACCCTCTCTTCACATGCTTATCTTCATAGCCTATCTTCATTGTCTGGTGGTCAAACATTTCATTCAAATCCTCCCTTTGACTCTTACAACAGAGGTACTTGCTGGTGATTCGTAAAAGGTGGCACCTCAGAATTTTTTAATAAGAGAAATTGATCTTTGCTCAATGTTTGGGAATGCTTCATAGAGGTGATATGCCAATACTCTCCTGTCAATCCCAGGGCAGACAGACCACGGGGAGAGGTCCCTGCTACATTAACTTGTGGTCACAGTTCTTTCAAGTGACACTTAATGGATTTTCCATATGCTTCCAAACAGCTGAGTCTGGAAAAGCAGAGGCTGGGAGATGGCCAGATATCCAGTCTGAATTATATAAGCATTCCATGGCAAGCGTTACTGATGACCTCTGTTTATGCATTGTTGTCACAGATGCATTGTTGGCTTCACCGGGTTCAGATGTCAGCACCGGGAGCTGCGGTGGGAACTGCGCCATGCCAGCCACGGGCAGCAGCAGAACCTCACCGTGGTGGCCGTCTGCGTGGTGGGGCTCCTTGTGCTGCTCCTCTTGGCCCTGTGGGGGGCTCGGCATTACAGGTGACCTGTCATCCATTATCCTTCCTCTTCCTAACACAGAGAAATGCCTGCCTCCTTGAGATCAAACTTCTTGTAGACATTTGCAATTTAAAAACAAGAAGACATTCATTGCTTTAAAACACCAATGGTCTTGCTTTTATGTATTCTATTCTGGTCCTTGTCCATATAATATGCCTCCAGGTTTATGTGAATATTATTATCTCATGCAGATGTGGGGTTTGTGGGGGTTTTTTGTATTCTAATTTTCCTTTTCTTTCAACATTGAATGCCACTCCCCCCGCCCCCCTTGTAGCCTCCAGCACTAATTTCTCACAGCAGTATAAGGATGTTGACTAGCACGGGCACTTTGTTCTGGTTAACTGAATGATTGATAGTTCAAATCCACGTAACAGTACTGCAGAAAAAAAGGCCTGGAAAAAAAAAGGGGGGGGGGAAGGCCTGACACTCTAATGCCAGTTGCTGTCAAATTTGTTTTAATTCATAACCTTGCAAATCCTACATAGTTCTAATTGCCATTTGTGCAGATAAGAACTATACAGAATTTTCAAGACTATGACTTTTTTTCCCTCTTTTTTTTTATTAATTTAGTTTGTTTATTTTTCATTTCAATGAACATCTACAGAGATTTTGGGATTCCATTCATTCATTGTTGCACCCTTCTCCCCGCACAAACCCCT